TACAACTGGCCTTGGGTAGATGAATCTGTCAGCAGCTACTAAATACATTTGGCTTGCATGGCAAGATAGGATTTGTAGCTTCAGTACAGCTAGAGTGCTGAGCTTGCCTACCCCTGCATTAAAGGGTATCAATGGTCAAAAACTGAAAACAAATATGTATTTCTATTGTGCGTTTCCTTAAGTTGAATGGGCTATTCATGTTTTATTGTTATTTAACCAGATAGGAAATGAGGGTTGGAGAGAAGAGGTGAGGGTCACTTTCCAACAGCAACATAGACAGCAATAACAAGTTGTTTAGGGTAAGACTAGACCCCCTCTCAGCTTTTTATCCAGGTCTATGTCTCTGTTGGAGATTTTACATTACTTCCTGTCTATTAAACCATTGTCACCAGTAGTGATGGGCTCGGGCATGTTCGCAGCTCCACGTGCCGAGCCCGCCAGGAAGCTGAAAGCGCAGGAGCGCCAATCACAGGTACTGAGACATTTTCCTGGTCCGCAGCTGCAGAGATCGGGAAATGTCTCAGTACCTGTAATTGGCGCTGCTGCTCTGTCAGCTTCCTGGCGGGCTCGGCGCGTGGAGTTGCGAACACGCCCGAGCCCATCACCAGTCACCAGGACATAATTAAGGGGAAATCTTTATAATGGAGGCCTGTGTAGCAGTAAAAATCCAATAGAGATTCTAATCTGTCCCCACTTCATCCAACATTAGAAAAAACTCCGATGCACCCTGGGTTAACGTACGTCAATGTTTGTACACAGGTTAGCCATTGATGTAAATGGTGTTAGTTTATATCTGGCCATGCTTTTTTCCTTTATTATTACCAGTAACATACTTTCTGTCCTAGGGTGACAACTAGGGATGCACCGGTACCGATACTAGTATTGGTATCGGCGCCGATACCGAGTATTTGGGTGAGTACATTGCCAAATTCTCCGATACCTTCCCCGATACTGGAACTTCCTCTGACCGGCAGTGCCTTAGGGGAACATGGAGTCGGTATCCCAGGCAATCAGGAAGCTGGGCAGCGAGTAATGACCCGCCTCCTGGCTTCCTGATTGGCCGAATAGCCGGCTCCTTGCTGACTGGCTGGGAAGACGGCTTCACGGCCAATCAGCATCGAACCGGCCGAACAGCCAGCTCGATGCTGATTGGTTGGGAAGCCGGCTTTACAGCCAATCAGCATGGAGCCGTTTTCCCGGCCAATTGCAATCGAGTTGGCCAAACAACATGGAGCTGGCTTCCCGGGCAATCAAGAAGCCGGGCGGCATGTCATTACCCGCCACCCTGCTTTCTGATTGCCCAGGAAACTGACTCCATGCCAGCGGAAACATTGGTACTCAGTTTTGGCGAGTACCGAAAGCAAAATATTGGTACTCATACTCGATACAGAAAAAACGGTATCAGTGCATCCCTAGTGACAACGCCTATTCACTCCACTGTATCTGTTCAGGGCGCCATGGGTGTCACCCTAGGATAGGACTTAAGAGACCTCCTCTTGTCCTCTTCTCCATAACATAGATGGGCAATGTTGTGTAGTCCTCAGAATTACCTAGGAACAATGTAACTGATAACAGCGCAACACAGAGAGAGCACAGGAAGTTCAGCTAAGAAGATTTCTGGCAGGTTTTTTTTTACACTTATGGAACGGATATAACAAAACACTTTCAATGGTATTCCCGGCGGCAAAAGTCGCCGGGAGTCTGTTTAAACAGCCCCGATGCTGGCGACGTACACTGTACGTCGTCAGTCACGAAGGGTTTAACAGACCAAAAGGGAGCAAATAAGAGAAGTTGATTGTTAGGGCATACACACCCTTAAAGGAGAACTATGAGGTGAGTGCTTTTCACTCACCTCATAGTTCTAGCCGACCTGTGACAATGAAACTGTCCCAGGTTGGCTCAGTAGATCGGGAAGTGAGCAAACACATACCGGCGCTCGCTCACTTCTCGATTCTGTCACTGCAGGGAGCCGTGACAGGGAAGTGGCTGGATTCTCCCCTCCCCTGCCCGATCCTCTAGCGCTGACTGGCGGAACGGACGGGGAGGGGGCGGGTACAGCTGGCTCTGCCTCTAGATAGGCAGAGCCAGCTGTCACTCACGCAGCTGGGGGGATCTAGACATAATTGTCGGGATCCGTTTCAACTGCGGCGTCTCAGTATACCGCGAGCTGTAGCTCGCGGTATACTGAGCTTTGGGTGACGGGAGGACGCTAGTTTGTGTCCTCCCGTTACCCTTAGGAGGACTATGGTGAAAAGCCCTAACCCCATAGTTCTCCTTTAAATCATTCATATATGTGTATTATTCATGGCTGACCAATACCAAGTAAGCCTTTCACTATAAAGAACAACTCTGGGAAATTCAAAAACCTACCCTTGCAGTGGGGCTACCCAACACACTGTAAGGATAAATTGTGTGGAGGGGGCCGAAATAAAGAATAAATACTCACTTGATCCTCGATCCAAGTCAATAGACCTGCATAAGATGTGATGATGTCAGCGGTCATTAGGCGGCCAGAGCCCGGGGGGGGGAGAAGATGCTGCAGGGACTGGTCTAGCTGCCCAGCAGGACTGAGGGTCCGGTGAGTATATCTGCTTTATTTGAGCCCCCTAGACAAAACGAGTACTTAACCCTTGCAGTGTGTCGGGTGGCTCCACTGCAAGGATAACGTTTTTTTCCCCCTGGAGTTCTGTAAGGTGAGGTTCCTACTACTACATTGCTGAAAGGTAACTGTGGGCCGTTAGGAGCGGCACAGCTCCGCGTTTCTCTCACACTGGGCTTCTGTTCCGTCACTTGAATAAAGGTATTTCTGTGTGGGAACTCATATCTCCTATGCCAAAAAAATGTGTCTGTATGACTTTGCTATTCACCAAACCCTCACACGGCTGCCAAGGTTCCTAACTGGCAAAAGATGGGAAACATTTTAAAATACGAATATTAATTGACCGCATTCTTACCAGCAAACCTCCGATACCACCAGGGCTGGGAGTAGAACGTGTATACACTTCTCCCCTATTACTTATGTTGCGTCACTGTGGTCTTTGGGATTTAAAGTGTCAACATCATCACGGCAGTGTAGGTGGGAGAAACCGGATTTTTAAAAAGTCTGTTCCAGAGGGTTAGTCATTTTGCATTGTGTTTTAAAGGGGAAGTCCAAAGCAAGCCGAAAGATCAATCATGAACAGATACAACGAATAGCGGGTTCACCTGCGTCTGCGTTATGCTTTTGCATGCAGCACGTCTCTTAAAGTGACACTAAACTCAGGAGTTAAATCTTAAAAATACATTTAAGTACCCTAACTATTAACAAAAAATGTATCCTATTTGTGCATCACTCGGCTGTAGATCCTCACATCATCTCTGAATTGGTGCTGACGCTGTCCTTCCTTCTGGAGGGTGGCTACTTTTGTTCCCCATGGTCCCTGTGTGTGTTGTAAAGTAGTCACGGCTCCAAGCTCAGTCCTGTGATGGACTATAACTTCAATAAAAATAAGTAAACTGAACATGAGATTGTAGTCCACAGGAGTGAACTTGGAGTTGTGGCTACATTAGAACACACACAGGGACCATGGGGAACAAAAGTAGCCCTCCTCCAGAATGAAGAACTGTGTCAGCACCAATTCAGAGATGGGGACACTGTCTGCATGGAGTTTGCATGTAGGTTAACTTGCTCCTGTGTAAATGTGTAAATTGGTCCTAGTATGTATATGTGAGATAGGGTTTAGCTTTTCTCAA